ACAACAAAGATGAGGATATTAGTCAAAATTTAAGTAATAAAATGAAAACTCCTCATCTCACAGATGAAAAGACAATCAAGAGATAATAACAACAAAGATGAGGATATTAGTCAAAATTTAAGTAATAAAAATGAAAACTCCTCATCTCACAGATGAAAAGACAATCAAGAGATAATAACAACAAAGATGAGGATATTAGTCAAAATTTAAGTAATAAAAATGAAAACTCCTCATCTCACAGATGAAAAGGCAATCAAGTGATGATAACAACAAAGATGAGGATATTAGTCAAAATTTAAGTAATAAAAATGAAAACTCCTCATCTCACAGATGAAAAGACAATCAAGAGATAATAACAACAAAGATGAGGATATTAGTCAAAATTTAAGTAATAAAATGAAAACTCCTCATCTCACAGATGAAAAGGCAATCAAGAGATGATAACAACAAAGATGAGGATATTAGTCAAAATTTAAGTAATAAAATGAAAACTCCTCATCTCACAGATGAAAAGACAATCAAGAGATAATAACAACAAAGATGAGGATATTAGTCAAAATTTAAGTAATAAAATGAAAACTCCTCATCTCACAGATGAAAAAGACAATCAAGATAAAACCTAACAACAAAGATGAGGATATTAGTCAAAATTTAAGTAATAAAAATGAAAACTCCTCATCTCACAGATGAAAAGGCAATCAAGAGATAACAACAAAGATGAGGATATTAGTCAAAATTTAAGTAATAAAATGAAAACTCCTTATCTCACAGATGAAAAGGCAATCAAGAGATAATAACAACAAAGATGAGGATATTAGTCAAAATTTAAGTAATAAAAATGAAAACTCCTCATCTCACAGATGAAAAGGCAATCAAGAGATGATAACAACAAAGATGAGGATAAGTCAAAATTTAAGTAATAAAAATGAAAACTTCCTCATCTCACAGATGAAAAAGGCAATCAATGATAAATAAGAGATAATAACAAGAAGCAAAGATGAGGATATTAGTCTAGAATTTAATTAATTTCAAAAAATGATGAGATCTGAAAACTCCTCATCTCAAAATGACCATGAAAATCAAGAGATAATAACAAATAGCAAAAGATGAGGATATTAGTCAAAATTTAAGAAAAATAATAAAAAGGAAAAAGAAGCAAAGAAGTAAAGAGAGGAAAGGAGGAAGAAAATAAAGAAAAAGATCATCTCACAGATGAAAAAAAAGGTAAAAAAGAAAGCAATTTAAAAACTCATGATGAAAGAAAACAAGGAAATTAATATTTAATTTAAGTAAACCATTTTAAAAATAGAACAAAAAGGCCAGAAAGAAAGAAAAAAAAACAAACAATGGAAAATTGAGAGAGAGAAAATCATTAGTGCCAGAGAATAATAAAAGAAAGAGAGAAAAGAATATCTGCAAAAGAAAAAGAAAATAGAACTTATAGTTACATTGAGGCAAAAAAAAGAAAAAAAAACAATGATGAGACCTATTTGTCAAATGAAAAAGTACTGGCGACTAAAATACAAAAGAGAAAAGAATATTCAAAAAAGGTATCAAAAGAAAGAAAGTTCATCAAAAAATCAATTACCATGAAAATATTTATAGAAAAAAGTCACAGGAAAGCTAAAAAAAAAATGGAAAATTGAGAAAAAAATGTTGAAAGAGAGAAAGATTTAAATAGCTGGAAAGAAAAAGAAAAGAAAGAAAGAAAGAAATGAAAGTGGAAAATTTGAGACTGTGCTAATAGTCTTCTAAAATACTTTTTGTACTAGAAAAAAGAAAGAAAGAGAAAGAAAGGGAATGATTAGATAAAAAGAAAATAATAAATTAAAAAGAAAGAAGGAAAAAAAGAAAGAAAGAAAGAATAAAAAAGAAAAGAAAAAATACTAAAAAAGGAAAATTGAGAGAAAAAATGAGGAAAGAAAAATAAAAAAAAAATCAAATGCAATACAAATGGAAGAAAGAAAAAAGAAAAAAGAAAAAAGGTAAAAAAGAAAAAAAAATAAAATAAAAAAACTCATGGAAGAAAAAAGAAAAGGAAAAAGAAAACAATGGAAATTAAAATATTTAATTTAAGAAAACCATTTTAAAAAAGAAAGAAAGAAAAAAGGACAAAGAAAGAAAGAAAGAAAGAAAGAAAGAAAGAAAGAAAAAAAAGAAAGAAAGAAAAGAAAAGAAAAAAAAAAAAAAAAGAAATGGAAAATTGAAAAAAAGAAAGGGAAAATTAATAAAAGAAGTATATCAAAGAAAAAATAAAATAGAGAAAGTAATTAAAAAAAGAAAGTAAGAAAAAGAAAGAAAAAAACTAAAAAAACAAAGAAAAAAGAGAAAAGAATATTCAAAAGAAAAGAAAAAATACTAGAAAGAAAGAAAGAAAGAAAAGAAAGAAAGAAAGAAAGAAAAGAAAGAAAAAAAAAATAAAAGAAGTATTATCAATGGGTAAGATTGAGAAAGAAAGAAAAAGAAAGTAAAAAAAACATATTTAAGAGAAAAAAATAATTAAAAAATTAAAAAGTGTAGGCAAAGAAACTAAAATACAAAAAGAAAAAATACTAGAAAAAGAATATTCAAAAGAAAAAAGAAAAAAAGAAAGGAAAAATAATAGAAATTAAAAGAAAAAAATAAAATAAGGTAAAGAAAGAAAGAAAAGAAAGAAAGAAAAAAAAAAAAGTAAAAAAAACAATGGAAAATTGAGAGACAGAAAATCATTTATTTAAAAAAGTGTAGAAAGTAATTAAAAAAAAGTGTAAAAGGCAAAGAAACTAAAATACAAAAGAAAGAAAGAAAGAAAGAAAAGAATATTCAAAAAATGAAAATTAAAAAAAAGTATTATCAAAGAAAAAAAAAAGAAAGAAAAAGAAAGAAAGAAAGAAAGAAAGAAAGAAAGAAAGAAAGTAAAAAAAAACAATGGAAAATTGAGAGACAGAAAATCATATTTAAGGGCAAAGAAAAAAATAAAAAAAGAGAGAAAAGAATATTCAAAAAGAAAAGAAAAATACTAAAAGAAAGAAAATAAAGAAAGAAAGAAAGAAAGAGAAAAGAAAGATTCAAATATTATCAAAGAAAAATAAAATAGAAAAATACTAGAAAGAAAGAAAGAAAGAAAAGAAAGAAAAGAAAATTAAGAAAGAAAAAAAATAAAGAAAGAAAAAAAAAATAAAATTAATAAAAAAGAAAGAAAGAAAGAAAGAAAGAAAAAAGAAAGAAAAAAAGAGGTAAAAGAAGTAAAACCGAAAAAGAAAAAAAGAAAAGAAAAAAAGAAAGAAAGAAAGAAAGAAAGAAAGAAAGAAAAAGTAAAAAAAAACAATGGAAAATTGAGAGACAGAAAATCATATTTAAGGAAAGTAATTAAAAAAGTGAGGAGAAAAAAAGTCAAAATACAAAGAAACTAAAAAGACAAAGAAGAAAAAAGAGAAGAAAAAATATTCAAAAAGAAAAGAAAAAAACTAAAAAAAGAAAGAAAAAGAAAGGAAAGAAAGAAAGAAAAAATAAAATAGAAAAGAAAAAAACTGAAAGAAAGAAAGAAAGGAAAGGGAAAAGTAATAAAAAAAAAATAAAATAGAGGTAAAGAGTCAAAAAGAAAAAAAAAGAAAGAAAGAAAGAAAGAAAGAAAGAAAGAAAGGGAAAAATTAAAAAAGAAGTATTATAAAATAGAGGTAAAGAGTATAAAACCGAGAAAGAAAGAAAAGAAAGAAAGAAAGAAAGAAAGAAAGAAAGAAAGTAAAAAAAAACAATGGAAAATTGAGAGACAGAAAATCATATTTAAGGAAAGTAATTAAAAAAGTGTAGGCAAAGAAACTAAAATACAAAGAAAGAGAGAAAAGAATATTCAAAAAGAAAAGAAAAAATACTAGAAAGAAAGAAAGAAAGAAAGAAAGAAAGAAAAAGAAAGAAAGAAAGAAAGGGAAAATTAATAAAAGAAGTATTATCAAAGAAAAAATAAAATAGAGGTAAAGAGTATAAAACCGAGAAAGAAAGAAAGAAAGAAAGAAAGAAAGAAAGAAAGAAAGAAAGAAAGAAAGAAAGAAAGGGAAAATTAATAAAAGAAGTATTATCAAAGAAAAAATAAAATAGAGGTAAAAAAAAGAAAGAAAGAAAAAAGAAAGAAAGAAAGAAAGAAAGAAAGAAAGAAAGGGAAAAAATAAAAGAAGTATTAAAAGAAAAATAAAAGAGGTAAAAAAAAACCTGAGAAAGAAAGAAAAAAGAAAGAAAGAAAGAAAATCAAAATTGAGAGACAGAAAATCATTTAAAGAAACCAAAATACAAAGAAAGAGAGAAAAGAATATTCAAAAAAAGAAAATAAAAAGAGAAAGAAAGAAAAAAAACTAAAAGAAAGAAAGAAAGAAAGAAAGAAATTCAAAAAAAAAAAAGAAAAAGTACTAGAAAGAAAGAAAGAAAGAAAGAAAGAAAAGAAAGAAAAAAACAATGAAAATTGAGAGACAGAAAATCATATTTAAGAAAGGGAAAAAAAGAATAAAAGAAGTATTATCAAAGAAAAAAAAAGAAAAAATAAAGAGAAAGAGAAAAAAAAAGAGAAAATAAAAAAAAGAAAAGAAAAAAACCGAAAGAAAGAAAGAAAGAAAGAAAAAAGAAAGAAAGAAAAAAGAAAGTAAAAAAAACAATGGAAAATTGAGAAAGAAAGAAAAAGAAAATCAAAGAAAGAAAAGAAAATAAGTACAAAAGAAGCAGAAGCAAAGAAACTAAAATAAAAAAAAAAAATGAAAAATTAATAAAAAGTATAAAAAAAAGAAAATATGACAAAAAAAAGAAAGAAAAATACTAGAAAAAAAGAAAGAGGAAATTATTAAAAGGAGAAATATTTTCAAAGAAAACATGATAAAAATGAGGAAAAGAGTATGAAAAAGAAAGAAAAACATTGGAAACTAATATTTAAAGAAAACATTAAAAATAGAAGAGGGGGAAAGGATAAAAAAGAATGAATGAAAGACAAATACAATGGGAAATTAACAGAAAGAAAATATTATTTAAGAAAATCTACTCTAAGAAGAGTGAAAAGCAATTAAAGAAAGAAGGAAAGAAAGAAAAAAAAAACGTAAGTAAAAGAAAAACAATAGAAAATTGAGAGAGAGAAAATAATATTTAAGGAAAATAAGTACAAATAGCAGAAGCAAAGAAACTAAAATACAAAGAAAATGAGAAAAGAAGAATAAAAAAAAAGAAAAGAAAAATACTAGAAAGAAATAAAGAAAAATAGAAAAAAGAAAGAAAATACAAAAAAAATGAAAAATTCAAAAAGAAAAAAAATACTAGGGAAAAAAGAAAAAAGAAAGTATTAAAGAAAGAAAAAATAAAATAGAGGGAAAATAAAAAAAGTATTATCAAAAAAAATAAAATAGAAAGAAAGAAAAGAAAGAAAGAAAGAAAGAAAGAAAGAAAGAAAGAATATTTATGGAAAATAATATAATAAAAAATGTCAAGTGTAAAAAGAAAATAAATATGTAATCAGAGTCAATACCACAACTGAAATATTTTCATATTTCCCACCAGTGCCAGAGGTCAGTGTCTGAAACCAGAGAAATAACCAGAATTTTAAAAGCTGATTTTCAAGGGAGGTAGGTAGACTGACACAGAATAACAGAATCTTCCTTAATCAACTTTCTTTAATTTGATCTTGTACTATACTAACTTAAACTTAGTTATTTATTAAGAATAATTTAGATTCAGTACATGGTTACAAGTATGTGGCAGCCAGTTAAGATCAAACTCACTTCTAATAGTCTTCACTACCAGCTTGTATGATACCACATTGAGATCTTGCTTAAATTAAGCTTGGTAAATATCAAATATAAAGATATAAAGGAAGAACTGAGAGTAGCACATCTGTGGAATTATGAATGCCACAAAATGAACTGCCACCAGTTGCATTTATTGAGCAAATTATGTAGCCTTGGCAACAGGCAAAAAGCAGCCATGCAGAATACAACACACTTTGTATGAGTGATATTTAGTTCAGTTTGTAAGCATTCCAACATAGCAACAAGGCAAAAAGTAATAAACTATTACTATATAAGAATTAGTTTGGTTAAACAACAACAACAACAAAAAAGATATTAATAACATTGATGATGATACTGGATTACTGAGACAACATCAATAATTATATTTTGATTGATCAGTCAATCAATTAATTGATTCCAGTCTCTTCATATCTCTCAATTTATGTATGCATGAATTTTTCTGTCCATTGCAATTTATCCATCTTTCTCTCTCATATTAATATACATCTATATTATAATCTGATTTCTGGTGTATTTGTTTATTACAATAACATAGCAAAAATGGCACATCATAGCAAGATTTTTGTTAGAACAATCCTGTTAAGCATTCCAACCAGAAGAACAAAGAAATTTCCAGTCCAATTTGTAATTGAAGAATATAGTGTTTTTTTTTTGGGGGGGGGAGCATTAATTCTATGTCCCTTCAGGATAAGAGTTATCATGACTCTCCTCAGATTCTTTTTCTTTATTATCTATGAATTACCATGCATTCTTGGGAAAGTTAGTGGAGTAGTTTCCCATTGCCTTTTCCACCATTTGGAATTCAGAGTTTTCCTTCTCTTATACTGATTGCCACCAAAGGCTAGAGTGGCCAGTCTACTGTATTATTTAATACATATTTAATAGGAGTAGATAGGATTGCCTCTCATCCAGTTCACATTCCTCATCAGTCTTTTGAACAGGAGTAGAAGTTTATCTCTTGTTTTCTGTTTAGGATTGGGTTTCTGGTTCCTTCTAAAGTATTCTCATGCTCTTTCACACCCAGTAATACTTTGCATCTTATTGGCTTTGTTACCTAGCTTGGGGTGAATTGATTTAAAAAAAAGTTTAACTAGAAGGTGAAGAGGTGGATTCATGCCTTTTCCAAGGGAAACGGAATGCAAGAGACTAGCTTAGAATTTGAACTTGGCCCTCCAATTCCATATTTTCTTGTTGATATCTATTATACTACCTGTACATACAAATGCGTTTGTTACAAAAACTGAAAATAGAAGCATATTAATATTGAAAGAGAAAAAGAAACAAAAAGATTACTAATTGTTGCATAAAATAATGATACTTTAGCTTTATTAAAATTATTTTTATTATATATCTCTATCTATAAAAGGCAGGATGTGTGTGTGTGTGTGTAATGAATGCACGGCTGCAATTGTCAACGGATTTGCACCAACATTTACTTGCACATGCTCCAAATTAGCAGGAAGGCCAAGACCGACTTTGCATTTCCCAACTCCCATCGATAGTGGAAATAATCGATTTTTTCATGCTTCTACAGCAGTTTTCATGTAGTTTGCGGCCATTTTGTACTGGCCAGAGTGAGAGCCTATGGCTAGCTGCCACGAATAGGCAGGAAGATTCTATTGGCCAGCGTGAGAGGCAACAGCTGACTGACACGAATGTTAACTAGCATGCTAGCATGCAAAAAAAATTGATAGCTGCATTCGTCACAAGTGGGAAAAATTTAAATCTTCATGGCACTTTACTCCAATTGGCTCATTCGCTTGCTTAAACTCAACGTTGATTCTGATTCTGCAGAACTGGGTTGGGTGTGAAAACGTATTTGTTGTTAACATTCTTTTTTCATTCGGTTTTTCCAGTTACAAGTCCTTTTTTAAAGCTGATCATTTTGTGTTCATTTTGTTTAGTTCTTTTTTCGTAACAGATTTAATGTTTAGTATAGAGCTTAGAAAAAATTTGCAGTGTGAGATAGGCAAGAAGTAAGGCATGTAGCAACATCAGCATGGCAAAGGGCACTCCTTTAAAGGCAAGGAAGGGCAAAAATATTTTAAGTGATAGCGATTGCTGTATGAGTCATACGATTTTTGAATCAAGCACGGGCAACTTTGGGCCATGCAGCTAGTTTTTATATAGAAATTAATTTCATTTTACAAAAATAAATCTATCATTATTTCCTGGGTTACTTTATTTTTGTTGTACCCTTAAAGAAGGTTACAAACAAACAAAGTTGGTACTTAAGTGAAGAAACAGCAACATGTGATGATATAAAGTTTATTGATTGCCTTCAACATCCTTTCATAAAGTGTGTCTATATTTATCTAAAGATTAATTGGATCAACTAATCAAGCTCAGTGTGTTAATTTCTTTCTGCCAGTCTGTTTTTTTATTTACTATTATGTGTTTTATCTGGCACAAGGATACATATATGGAGAACTCAGTGAGGATGTAACTCAGTACAGTCATAATGCTCTGCTAGGTTAGTTTGGAATCTGTCCTGAGAAATGTATGTTTATTCTGTTGGTCTCCTTTGTTTTATTTTCCACTTACAACCACAGAGCTCAGCACTTGTTGGAAGATATCTTGTGTTTTCTGGCTTGACAATTCCAGCTGAAAATAACAGTATGGCTAGGGAGTAAGAAGTAAAGAGATGTTGCCATGACTATTACTTACCTAGTTTCTACAACAATATCTATTAGACTACAGTGGACTATCAACACAGTAATACCTACTGTTGTAAAAAATGCAATAGTAGAAATTAATAGGATATAGATAGAAATCTATAATTAAGACAAGAGTTTAAATTTCATTTATATGATACTGAATTATTTTTTTTTAAATAAACAAATACATCTTAAGCAGCTTGGTATCTCAACTTCATGAAATTAAGTACGCTCAAGACATTTTCTCACCAATGTGACATAGATTCCCTCTGACTTTTCTGCTGATATTTTCATGATGATTATTCTCATGAGCTTTCCTCCTTGGTGTCTCAACTGCATGAATTTAAGTGTGCTCCAGTCATTTTCTTAGCAATGTGACCATAGCTTCCCTTTGTCTTTTTTACAAATATTTTCATGATGATTATTTTCATGAGCTTTCCTCCTTGGTTTCTCAACTACATGAATTTAAGTGTGCTCCAGTCATTTTCTTAGCAATGTGACCATAGATTCCATCTGTCTTTTTTACAAATATTTTCATGATGATTATTTTCATGAGCTTTCCTCCTTGGTGTCTCAACTACATGAATTTAAGTGTGCGCTTGTCATTTTCTTAGCAATGTGACCATAGCTTCCCTCTGTCTTCACAAATATTTTCATGATGATTGTTCTCATGAGCTTTCCTCCTTGGTGTCTCAACTCCATGAATTTAAGTGCCACTAGGGTGGCAACTAGGTCTCACTCTTTTACCGTTGAAGTAGCTAGATGCAACTGTATGTTCTATTCTAATAGCTTCTTTTCTTGCACTTCTCACCTGTTGAACTCCTTTCTGATATCTTGTTCCCTGCTACATAAAACCTTAAAAATTTTTAAATGTGATACCAATTCTCATCTTCTTTCTGAATCCTGTTCCTTTATTGTCCTTTTTCATCATTTCTATTCATTAAAGTTTTTTCATTCTTTTTCACTCTCTGTAACCCCCTTTGTCCTATTAGCATTTTCACCTTGCTTGTGTGTGAAATGATTCAATAATTGACTAAAATCTTTAAGAGGTAATACTATATTTCTTTTTTTATGAATTATATTTAGATTATCATGTGTTTATTAGAGTAAATGTGATAATAGTTTTTAGCAGGTTATAGGTAAAAATCTATAATTGATACAAGAGTTTTATTTTAATATTTATGATACTGAAGGTGGGCATTAATTGGTTACACAATTTTTTTTTTAAAAATAAGCAACTAAATATTAAGCAACTTCCCTTCTAACATAAGTGTGGATGAAACAGCTGAAAAATAAATATATAAAATATAAATAACTCCAAAAATATGTGCATGCAATTTCGACACTTAGAAAAGAAAAGTAAAAAAAAACGATACTGCATTTTTTAAAATTTACTGATAATATAAGAATTATCAGATAACATTGAAGTTTTAAGCATTTCTTCACTAATTAAAGATCTTTATAGTGAATATTTTTTATTTTTATTTAATCATTTTTAGGTCAGTTTTTCCTTGGTCTGAACTTAATTTATGGCTAATCCATGCTAGTGAATTTTGGATGTTTCTAATTTGTATAAATCTAAATCCCCCAAAATATTATATCATTAAAAAATATCTAATATAACCATGAACGCATAAAAATATGGTACGAAATCTCAGGAAAAGAATCCTCACAAAGATTATTTTGTGGAGAGTTGCTGATACTTTATTTTAATAAAATATAATGTAGGTTTTTTTGTTTCCACCGAGAAGAAACTGAGTGAATATCTGATAGTG